ACTATTTTTTTTTTTTTTTTTTTTTTTGCTAACTTTGCGCAGGGTATATACATAATTCCTTCTTTTTTTATCTACAAACATGTCAATTTAGTTATGTAAGTAATCATAGAATAAGCTAATGTGTAGCTTAGCCGGAAACAAATGATTTCCTCTTTTTTTTATCGAATCGAGTAAATTGTAAATAAAGTTTTCAATATAGTAAATTGGTTAGTTTACTCCTTCATATATATATATATATATATTGACAAGTGAACACGCAAGAAAGTGAATATCGGTTTTTGTTACATTTTTATTTATTATCTTTGTATTTAATCTGCTACTGAAATAATTATTACAAATTAACAATCACCTCTCGAACCTTTACTACATTAAATATTATTTTATTACAGCAGATTTTACGGTTATCTATTTCATTATTACCGCTCTTTTTATTTATTATCATACTAACAGCGTTTGTCACTTAATGCTGATCGAATGGAAACATTTGTTTGTTTGCATTTTCTTTCTTATTTGTGGAACTACGGAACATGTTCGGCATAATGTTCATGATTGTATCTTTTTTTTGCCTTTTTTTTTAAATTATTTGCACTATCTACTACAAACAGCCACATTGTTTCTCAGCATTAAATATCAAATCGCATCATCTCTGGAAGTGTGTGTTAACTATTTATCCACGTTTGTGAACAGTAAAATACTTGCTTGAAATAAATAGAAGACTATTTTGTATCGTCCGCTAGAGAAACTACTCGTTGCGACGCTTTACTAAAGTAAAATGCAAAATCTAACCTGCATCAGGAATGAAAGGAACGTTTGTTGAATGTTTATAAATTGGCAGTAGCGTTTTCAGTTCAGTCGGCGTCGTTTTATAGATTTCAATTACACTCGATCAAATGGGTATTTTATATCCATGTATATAGGTATTCGTTTCAAAAAGGTACATCACCGTTATTCATACTGTCACGACTGCTAAATAGGCATTAAATCAGTTAAATTAAGTTGAATCGAAACGCAGAATGCGCGCAATACATAAAACGCTTAATATAGTGAAACTTTCAGCGTAATCCCAATAATAATTTAAGTGAAATAAACATTACAAAAGTGAAGAAAGCAAACATTGTGATTTAGTAAATAAAAAAAAAGAAAGAGGATGGGTTTTCACTTATCCTGCTTTTTTTTTAAAACCGTTTGAATTTGTTGGACGTGACAATACAAATAAATAATACGGTGCATGTAGTAAATATGATAGAACCCTATACGCAAATAGTTAACTTAAAAAACCGAGACGAACACGATTAATAATACTTTGTTACATTGGGATCATAATTCGCATCGGTTTTTTAATATGCATCGACGGTGTATATTCGCCAGAAAAATCGTCGTATTAACGCACTAGTAATTTTCTCGCCGACTTGAGACACACATTTACGTTTACTTTTTAATATTTACCGATATTGGAACAGCATTGCCCAGGCAGAACACAAGTACTGGGACGTAATGTTGGCCCAATATTTGCGGGAACATTGGTCTAACTCGTTGGCAGTAAATGCTCGAACAATAGTAAATGCACGCGTTTTAGTAAATGCACATATTTCAACGACTCCCCCTAACGTCGTAGGTATTGATATTATAAAACAGTATCGTACAATACTTATTCTAATGTCAAAAAACACAGTGATACAAAAATTCTGATATGTAGTATCAATATGCAAGAGACAGACGTTGTAACCGCAAAATATTCTAAAAGCAAATCCATGATATTCATAAGTATGTATACATTTCTAAGTTCACAAAATAAAACTATATCGTTGCGTATTAAAAAAAATTAATATAAGGTAAAAAAACGACTACGCTAAGTTGTTACAAAATCTTTCAATCTGGTAATAACGTCTTACGAATTGTTCTTGAAAAAAAAACAATAATGACGTAGTAATACTGTAGTCCGGGCAATACAATATTATCGTATATAGATATTGGATAAACGTTAAAGATACAGATTTCGATGGAATAATCGGGCCAATATAAAAACTAATTCTAAAATTAAGTTCCACCTGGGCAGTAATACTCATATACATTTACGATCAATTTTGTCATACCAAATATTATATTGGCTGACAGATGCTACTATTAGAACCTGTGCTTGCGGAGAGCACGATACTGAATAAGAAATAAAAGCAATATGGAATAAAAATTACAGTTGTGCTTGTGCGCTTCATACATGAAAATGAAAGACAGGCAATACAGGTAAAATTAATGGCTACATGTAAAATAATAATATATTAAGACACGAGCTCCATATTAAATTACATATGCAGATTTTCTATCTTTTCTTTAAATTCAGATATAAAGTAG